CTGTTGCTGCTGCTGCTGTGCTGCCGTCCCCAGTGGAGACGCCCTGTACTCCTTTGACAGCTCAGAGCGGGACCGCCGCTTTCGCACCGACCTCGACCTCGACGTGGAAGACGACCCCGACCCGATCGTGATGGTTCGCCGCGATCCCGTCCCCGACGCGGAAGGTTGTAGTGTTGGCGACGGTCCACGCGACGGGTTGGGTGATGGCGCTTTCAGGTTCACGTACGGGAGCTGGAGCCGGAGCTGGCTGGGGGAGAAAGGGACGGGGCTCCCTGGCGAGGGTTCCAGAAAGACGCGCAGGTTGAGTGTCGTGTCGCCTGGTGGCGGACGCGAGTCTTGTGCTTGGATCCTAGGGAGCTGGTGCTGCTGGTGCTGCTGCTGGTGGGAAGCCATTGTCGAGGCATTGAATCCAGTTCCCGTCTGAGGCACGCTACCAGCACCCGCGTCAGAAGTCGAGTACGCCGTCCCGGGCAACCAGACAAAGTCGTCAAAGCTGCTCGCGATGTTGGCAAAATTGAAACCCTCGCCTTTGCCCTCGCCCTTGACGTCGTGCGGCTCAAAGACCTGTCCAATCTCTTGGTCGAGGTCGAGCACCTCGCGCTTAAAGGGCTGATACTGGTGCAGCCTTGTGACCAGCGACGGGTACGCCGGCCCCAATCGGCCAGTGACTTTTGGACGGACGTCGATCTCGAGGCGCACGTCGCCGCTCTCATCGAACCCCCCGCTCCCCTTGGTCAGGAGCATGACAAAGGTGAATTCGCGCGGCAACCCGGACTTTTGGAGTCGGTTTTCCTCCAGAGTCCAGACCAGCTCGCCGTCCTCGATCTCATGGTCGTAGTCGTAGTCACTCCCGCGCCACGACCGCAGCGTCCGCACCGACCCCTGGATCTTCATCATCTCGTAGATCTTGTAGCTGCTCTTGACCCCGTACGAGGGCTTGACGCTCGCGCTCGCGGGGCCCTGCGACACCCCCAGCGACCCGGCCAGGTTGAAGTTCCAGTCCAGCGTCTCGGGCGAGATGCTCCCGTAGAGGAGATGGGGCGCGTGGCGGAGGAACTTGGGCCGGGATGGCCGAGGCAGCCCTTTGCTACTGCTGCTGCTGCTGCTGATGCCTTTGACCAGCGCCTGGCTCGCCTTCTCGGTCTTGGTCTGCGTGCCACGCTCGTGGCTGGTTTTCGGCGTCGCCACCACCCCCTGACCTTCTCCGTCGCCGTCTTCACCCTGGCCCTCGGCCTCGTCCGCGCCTATATGGTGCAAGGCGATCCTAATCTCCGCGGCCTTGAACCGGAACGTGCTGGAACTCGGGTGAAAGACAAAGTTGACGGCCACGAAGCGGACATTGTCGATGCGGTCCTCGTGGATCACGGGGCTGTCGTAGTACCCGGACTGTAGCCGCTGGACGTGGGCCGTGATGTACGACCCGCCCGGCAGCCGGCGCTCGTAGATGCATTTCTGGTTGACCTGGTAGCGGTAGTCCGGGGCGTTGGGGTCCTTGAGCCTTGCCGCTGCTGTTCGGGGTGTTAGCGGCGTGGATGGCCACGACGATGCATTATTGGGGGCTGTTGCGGGCGGCGCAGAGACGGGCTCGGACAGTATGCGGTGGAACCAGGTACTCATTGTCTGCGTATCCCCTTATCTCCGGATCTCTATGTCATCGTCTATGTACGAGGTACGTTATGTACTTTGTATGTGGTTTACTGCAAAGTGTGAGAAATATCTGGGTAGATTCGACGGAGGCGGTGTCATCGGGTGTAGGCTTTACGAGTAATATCAAATCGACCCGGCATCCTAATCGGGCTTGTTGGCTGGCTGGCAGCCTGATCGACAGAGTCACACACGCCTCTGCGTGCAGAGTTGTCATTGGATGTAGGAACGCCACACTCGAATCTCGGCCCCCATTCTGAAATCAGATGAGGTGCTGATTGACTTAGTAAGTATAGTATGAGTGACTTTGCTTGATTCGATCTATGAGTAGACAGGTGATGTGTTGACAAGGGGAAGAGTTGCTCTCCTGATGCAGTATCATGGCACGTGTACCAATTCCCCAGCCCTATACCTGCTTCACCCAGAACTTCTACTCAGCTAGCAGAGCAAATAGCCCCCATCCGCAGTAATCTCCTGCCCGGTCATAAAATAGTTCTTCATGATGGAAATATAACACTCTGCCAGATCCTCCGGGGCTCCAATACTATCGGTCAATGTCCTGGCCGTGTAAAAATCCACGATCTTCTGCTGTTCTCCATCACCTGCAAAATGGTCAAACAGTTCCGTCTTGACGGCGCCCGGGCAAACGCAATTGACGCGGATAGGTTTCATGTCGTTGGCAAGAGCATGGGTCAAGCCTCTCTTGGCCGCCCCGATGGGAGCCATAATCGTCCATCCAGTGGTGGGTTTCGCGTCACTCACTCCGTTGGTCAACGTGAAAGAAGAGGTGCGGCTGATCTCGAGGTAGCGCATGGAGATCTTTGCGAGCATCGTACAACCGGTGAGCCTGACCTTTGCGACTTCTGCTATAGCTGTCGGCGTGACTTCAGCGAGAGGCACCATGCGAAAAGCACCGCCAGCTGTTTCTGCAACGTGCTGCAGTTTGTGCTTCCCGCCGTCGGTTGCAAAGTCGAAGAGAGCCACAATCTGTTGCTCCACATCTTCCGAGCTCAAATCGAGAGTCGTGCCGCGGATGCGATCACCTGCGTCCGGGTACGCTTTCTGGATCCTTTCGACTGCCCTGTCGACTTTGTCTCGCTTGGAACTGGCCACGACCACAATTGCACCATGCTCTACAGCTGCCTCGGCGGCCGCGAAGCCAATGCCACTGGTGCCGCCGATGATCACCACCCGCTTGCCTTGCAGTTTGTTGGTGTATTTCAAGGACATGGTTGTGAATGGTGTGTGCTTGCTTTGTAACCGCTGTAGTGAGAATCGCACGTGTAGATGTGTGTGAATGTTGCTGGAACATGCTCCCATTGCAATTCCTAGCCACGATTAAATACTCCAGAGGCACTCTCTACTGTAGAAGATATGCGCATCCTGATTCGCTCCAGCGAAAATCGGCGGACTCCATGTTTCCGGGAGTCACTTCCGATTGTGGAATGCTCAGGCTCATCTGATTGGCTCGCTCGCTTTAAAGGACTTAAGAAGACAAAGGATGGCGTAACCCCGTTCGATGGCATTGGCTCTTTGCGCTCTAAATGGAAATTGGTCAAATGTGCTTGTGTCTTGCATTTGGGAGCGATCGCATTTCTTGCCTCTCGACGGACGAACCCGGATATCCACGTCTCAAAAGTCGTCCTCGGCTAAAGCCCCGAAGTAGGCACAGTCAATCAACGACAAGTCAACTCACGAACCCGGCCTTTTTCTTTCCCACTTACTCTTTCGTGGTGGCCACGGCACGTACCTGAAGACCAGGGACAAGGGTTTGACTGAAATGGTTTCGGAGCCCGGAATGCTGCCAGCAAAAATATGAATGCATAGTACGTTGTCTCAGCCATAAATTCACAGATCGCAATTCTCGACTCTGTTGATGTCAGAGGGGCAAACTCAGGCCATGTCATATGTATCATTCATGTTGCCGGAGGACCGAAGGAATCTGGATTCTGGCAGGGACCATTGCATTGTTATTATATTTCGACGACCGGAGAGGCTGAAGCCGCTTTTGGCGTCTTTGGTCCTTCAGCGTCTTTGACAACATCCGTCTTTGCCCCTTTCAAAGGAGGGAATTCGAAGGTTTCACTCCTGCCCACGCTTCCAGGTGCCCATTTTCCAACCCTGCCCCCTAAATATCCTTTGTCCCAGACGAGAGCACCAACCCAAGGCTGCACATTCCAACTGACTTGGAGAGTAGCATTGGCCCTCTCACTGATAACACCACTGGGGTCGGTGATCTGGTATTTTGGTTTCTGATTCTTTAAGGAGATGACCCCTGGCTTGACAAGATCCTTGGTCTTGGACTTTGTGTTCGAGGACTTCCTGCTCTTGGATTTTGACTTCTTCTCGGGAAAGTAGGCCTCTTTCAAATTCTGCCATGACCACGGGGTCGATGTTGCCTGGATGATTGTGTCCCAGATGACAGCTTCAGACATCGCCCCATCGCCACTCTTCCCACCGGGATAGTTTGCAGTGACATAGACAAACAGTTGCTTTGTGTTCCACGTGAACAGGCTGGACAGATCGGCTTCCAGATCAAATCTGATTTGAGCGTATTCTTCGCGTTTGGGGGAGTAGTAGTGCGGACGACCTTTGACAACTTGGACGTTTCGGACAGATATTGAGGCGCTTGGTGAGTCTGTCACAGGAGGTAAGGGTATTATGGAGAGCACAGTAATGATGCAAGCGAGGGTAAAGGCGCAGCTGGTAAAATACCCAAAGGTCGATTGGAGTCGAGTGAGAGCGCTGTGCATTGTGACGTGCGAGACCAGAGGAAATGGCCTCCGGAGTAGATGCAAGGAAAATTCAAAAGTTGGAAGATGACAGCAGCCTGTGCTTTACACTATCATTAGTGCAGCGAGGATGTCTGTGGTGATTCCTTCGTTGAGCGCCAATTCCGATCTGAACACGGTTGGGGAAACGCGACATGGAGAGAGTCCCTGCCAAGCCCAGGCTGAGACTGACAAGGCTGACATTTGCAGAAGACGAGGCTGATGTTCCCTCTGTACTCAAACACAGCTTGCGGCAGTCGACAATCTCAAAAAGTGTTCTCATCATTCTTTAGAACCTACTCTTACGTTCCTCGAAGTTATCCATGATATTCAGCATATTCCTATTGGACCGAAGCCTCTTAGTGTCAACCCCAGACTGTAGGCGGCAAGGCTGAGTTCGTTGTGCCATGGGGCATATGACATCACACTGACATGTTCAAAAACTCCCTGTTTATAAAAAAACGTGAGATCACCACCTCGTGGTATCAAGATCTATCCATCATTCCGGTAAGTTTTTCTGTGGGATTTCCCGCCCAACACCCCCTTTACCCCAGAGACATAGCGCCACCTCATAGCGGTAACAAAATGGGCCTTCCCTATTCCAAGGAGATTCACTCGGCGTTTGAACAAGTTACGCCCCTGGTCGCCGCTGGGTTCGAAGTACTCCAAACGACCAAAAACATTGCCATTCTGCTAGCTGTCATCCAGGTGGTGACCGTTATCACATTGCTTTTGATCCTGCTTGCTTTGATGGCCTTACTGTGCACGGTGAATCCAGACCTCGACAGAGAAAGAGAGCAGCTGGTCACTCCTGCTATGCAATGGATCGCCAGCTGGGTTCTCAAGTACGGCGGCCCTGCGAAAACGCTCCTCAAAATCGTGTTTGGGGTTGGTCTCTTGATCTCTGGATACGCTGTCTGGCAAGCTCTTGTGACCGGGCACACTGAGCCCAAGTCAGATGAAGAACAGTCTGAAGATACAGAGGGAAAAACAGATGACGATCAGACCAAGGGTCAAGGAAAGGATGCGAAAGACACCAACGAAAAGGAGGCAAAGAATGGAAAAGATGGGACAAAGAAGAAGTAGTTGTTAGGACATTTCGGCTGCGAAAATTGGTAAGTTCGCTTCATGTTCCATTGTGACCTACCCATGTCAACGTGGATGAATGATTGACTCTTTCAACGTCTCCATGGTAGAATTCCCATACCTTGTTCCATGTCTTTGTGACAGCGGAATTACCTTGTCCGGATATGGCCGACAGACAATGCGTGTATCCCTACCAAGGATTGTTGACGATGAATGAATCATGTTTCTTGCCAACGACCTCTTTACGAGTACTTTTTCTTTGTCCTCGAGCGAATGCTGCAGGCTGGAGTCGGATACTCGCGGCATACACCTCCGTCGACCTCTTGTCGCCCCTTTTGATTTCTTGAAGTAACGGTTTCATAAGAACAAAGTCTCCACCGGCCAAGTCCGGTCATTTGACTTAATTATTTCTTTGGATCATTATTTTGGAAAAGGGCGTAGACTTCGCCACGTCATTTCAAGACTTTCCGTTGGTGGTCAAAGGGCGTGCTGGGCGAGCTAACCGACAAGAGCCCAACAGAACAAAAGTATCAGTCTCAGGGCGGATCAGAAACGAGACTTCATTTTTCCCCGCCTCCATGGTGGGCGATTTTGACTCTTGAGTGGGCCTAAGGGACTGTAAAGCGTAGGGCGTAGGGCACCAGGTCGGCTCTCTTTTTGCCCGCTAAGGGAATGGCTTATCTGACTTGCCCGTTTGTATCTTTCAAGAGCTTGCTCTCATATTCAGGACTGGATGATATATACATACTAGAATGGCCCTTTTGGTTCATGCATAAATTCATCTGATCTCGACGTTATTTCCAGGGGGGTTTGTGCCTATCATCCACCAGACACAGCATATCGCAGAGTTGTCAGAGCACAAACAAACATGCTTGTTCACCAACAACACCCGCCTCCGCTACCAACATCGCCATCGTTAGCTACCCCTGCAACTTCAGAATATCTAGAATACTCCTACAATGCACACATCTCATCACCCGCAGCTGTTCAACTACGAACCAAGCCGATAGACATTGACCCGCTGCCACCAAGGAAAAAGCTAGCATTCTCTATACGGCCGGCCACAATCGCTGACGCCCCAGCAATTGCACGATTGGGTGCCACCGTTTTTGCTACGACCTTTGGCTTCAGTATTCCTACAAACGATCTGAAGGCCTACCTGACCGAGGCGTATAGCGTCGAGGCTATTGAAGAAGACATCCGGTGTGCGACAAAGCATATTCTCGTCACCTGTTTAGAAGACCAAACAGCCGACAATGACGATGCCAGTGGACAGGAAATCATCGGTTTCGCCCAACTCACAGAGGGCACTTCCGAACCCTGCATTTCCGACGTCGAGTCTGTCGTCGAACTGCAGCGCTTGTACGTCTCGACGGCATGCCACGGCCATGGAGTTGGGAAGCTCTTGGCCAACCAAATCGAGGGTGTGGCTCGGCGACTAGGATACAGGGCAATGTGGTTGGGTGTCTGGGAAGGCAACTTTCGAGCGCAGAAGGTGTACGAGGGACTAGGGTTCGTCAAAGTCGGCGACCATGAGTTCAAGATGGGCAAGTGCATTCAGATTGATTGGATCATGCTGAAAGATTTGTGAATTGTTTTGGGTGTTTTCTTCGTAGGATTCGCAGTGTGGCAGTCTTTGTGTTTTGAGCCTGGGAGGAAGGAATTCAATCAGCGAGACACTGACAATTAGAAATTCGAGTGCGCAGTCTTTTGATCTGCGCCCTTGTCATTACAAGCTCGATGGCTTGGCATTTATCCATTCCCTTCTCTCATGCGCCAACTACGTACCACAGACTGTACTGGACGTCCTCAGATGATCTTGAGAGGCTGTTCCAAACACCAGAGCTATCCTATCCTTTAGTTGCACAAGAGAGCCTCATCCTGCGAGATGCATCCACCTCGGAGACAAGTTAGCCGGGTCCGGCCCCATTGGTGGCCCACAACAGGAGAAGACAAGGGCAACACTCCGCACAGACCAGAACCACGAGGCGGGCAGTGGCGGGGTAAGGCCGAGGACTTTGTGCCGTGAGCCATTCCAAACTAAAAGGTCCATTTGGAATAGATCCAAGCTTTGAGCTTCGAGAATGTCACCGCCTGACTCAACATGCCATCGAGTCCTCCCCCAACAGGAGCCACGCCAGGATCTGGACGAAGGAGCAGACAAGCATGTAGTGGCTGCCATAAACGGAAGGCAAGTACTCTGGATCTAGTTGGATACTTAGTCACAAGTTTACTGACGAGCTGGGACGTAGATCCGTTGCGATCTCGTCCGTGGTCAAGAACCCTGTTCCAATTGTCGATTCCAGAGCATTCAATGCATGTAAGAGCCAGCCAGACGACAGTTTTGCCTGCCCTTCAAGTCCTTCGCTGATCATTAATGCTCCCTCAGACCTCACAGGAGAAAGCGACATGATCTGGTGCGTCTGCGTGAATTGCGCGTTCCTCCAGGGGTGCAGAAGGAACAGCATCATTCGTCGCTCATAAAGCCAGTCGAAGATTGCACATTGCCACAACCACCACCACCACCAGAAGAAGCCAGCACTGAACACTGCATCACAAAAACAGCGAAGTATGACAACTCCAGCTCTCCTGCCGGTGAAAACCTCGCCTACGTTGGCAGACCCGAGTATCTGCCAGGGGAGTTCGCCACAGAAGGAGACTCTGACGGCGAGGTGCCCAAGTGTTCCAGGGGTGATGCCGAAATGTCGTATCTACAATCGCTCAAAGCATTTGATTTCCCACCGAGGCCGGTGCGGGATGGCCTCATCGACAACTTTCTCAAAATCTGCAGTCCTTGGATGCCGGTGGTGAAGATAGAGGACCTGAAGCTCCAGAATACTGGCTCGGGACCTACCTCGTCAACGCCTGGGGGGTCACTACTCCTGACCCAAGCTGTTCTCGTCGCTGGTAGCCGAGTCCAACCTACAGCGCGATCACCCAATTCAGACTGTGCGAGTTTTTACAGCAAAGCCAAAGCGTTGTTCTTCGCGGATGTTGAGACGGATCCCCTGAACACGATTAGTGCACTGTGTTTGATGCAATGGTACAACCCAAGCGGACCTGAACACGTTTCAATCCATTCGAGTGGCTTCTGGCTTAGGACCGCAGTCGGGCTGGGATATCAGATAGGGTTACATCGTGAACCAGATCCGAGATCCGTCAAGTGCAAACTGCGACGAAGACTCTTTTGGACACTATTTGTGAGTTTCTCCCTTCCTTCTCCTCCATCGCCGCACCCATTGACTGGAATTAGTCGCGAGATTGTCAACTGTCTATAGCTCAAGGCCGCCCCCGAGCCATAAATTTGGTTGATTGCAATATCAGTCTACCCACTGTCGCCGACTTCCCTCAAGACAACAAGAATGCTCGACTCTTTGTCGCATATGTCGAGATTTGCTCGATCCTGGGGCAATGTGGTAAAGCTCTGAGCGGAGGTTATTCCCATTGGGCACCAGTTGAGGTTGGCCGCAGTCTTCAGCGCTGGATCTATCAACTACCCGACTGCTTGAAGCTCAACAATGCTCTTGATTATGATTTTGAGGCCCGCCAGCTATACCTGATATACTTCACCGCTGTATCCATTCTTTACGGACCCGGGCGGTCTGGTAACTGTACATCAGTAGCGCCAATCCTCGCCTCCTCGTGTGTCGCGCGGATCTTCGAAGATTTCCTGGCTCGCGACCAGCTCAGGTGTCTGGCCCCAATGACCATATTTTACCTCAGAGTGGCTGCTCTGCCGCAGTTATGTTGCTTCAACTTCAGTCCACTTTGGAACGTCTCCAAAGTTGAATTGTCGGTGATTCAAAAGTCCCTGCATGAGATGGCACAGACCTGGCATTCTGCACGGAGAGCTCTGCGGATTCTGACGAAGCTCGTCAACACCGTGAAGCGCGGACCGGAGACAGATCGCCCTCTGACTGACCTGGATCTCTCTCCCGAGCAGCTGTCATTCTTTGAGATGATCCCGGAAGAATTATGCCCAAAGAGGCATATAATTGAGACGGCAATGGACGCCGCACGGGTCGACCTTCAGGAGAAACCCAATGCCCGCGTCCAAAACCCTTCTACTCTCGCGAACCTCAATGCCGTAAGCATGCGACCGGACTCAATGGCGGCCTCTGACAGTACCATGCGGGAACTGACAACTGCTGCCTCCTCGCTAAAGCCTTTGTCGATCGCCTTGGGTGCGCCAGTTGGAGAGATCCAAGATTACACAGCGGCAGACTCATGGTTCACGAACGATAACAGCGACTGGATCGGTGGTGACGACAGCCTGGGGTCAGGACTTGACTTTGACGACGACGACCACCTTTTCATGTCGCTTCATGAACGCCTTTTGCAGGACTTGAGGTAGATATCACCTTGCTGGGTGCTTTGCGTAGCGACGCAATATGAGTTTATTGTTATGTCCTACCTTCCAATGGCTTCCCCACTAAGGTTAAGTCGAGACATATTGGTTTCAGGCCCCGAGGCATTGTTTACCGCCTCAAAACATCTGGTGCAGAGTCTACGGAGGGGAAGATTTGGAGAAAGGACCAGGTTCCACAAACGAAATCCCGTTTCTGCCACTGGCAGCACTTGGACCCAGAGAAAACCTTGAAGGACAGAGGAGTAGATCGACAACAGCCGACGGCGCGGCAAATGCGGGTAATTGTATGGTAAGTACAATACCCTGCTCCTTTGTCGGGTATTTTATCGACCTCCTGCTCTATTCACACAATGAGTGTTCTCCTAGGGAGACCACACAGAGGACCCTAAACAGAATCAATGGAGTAGACAATCTCCGTCTGTGGAGATTTCTCGATTTCTCCACGAAACCCCCGGGTACTCAAAATCTGGGAAATTGTCGCCGGCGTTTCCCAAGTGGCCCTATTACCGGCTCGAGGTCACTGGCACTGGCGTACCAGAAGAGGAGTCATTTGCCCGACAATCCATCCACCTAATTGATTGCCTTGTAAATGACACTCTTTGTTGAGATGTCGACCGAAATTCTGAGCAAA